TGATGTGTGCACAAGTGGTCATTTTTTAGGTAAGTTTGTTTTTAATGAATTTGCTGATATAAACAGAGGTGTTTGCAGATGATTTGACAGCTTTGATTAGCGGCCTGATGCATTACTTCACTTCTGGTCACTTCTGGTGTATTCACAATATTTTCGCTTCACTTTTGCATAGTGGAGTTAAGTGGTTCAGTATCTAATGGAAAATTTTAAAGCATTAACCTTGTATTCTATGTACATTATCTGTGCACAAGCATCTCCAAAGCTCCAAGGTCCATTTTTTATTAAAAGGCTACAAAACTGAGGGTACAGATAAGGCTCTATTAACCATGATAGCGCTTTGTAGTATCATTTTAATTAATACTCACCAGAGATCTTATTTGGGCTTTGTTTGACCTCCTAAAGTCCCAGAGCTTGTGTTAAAAAAGATTTAATAAAGAAGCACATCATTCACAATTAGATTTGTTATTGATGACAACTGAGAATCTATGCTAATTTCTCACTGTGGATATAAAGGGGCTAATATTTTGGATAATTAGTTTCATGGTGGTGCAATGAAGCAACTGAGACATTAAGTGTTAATACTGTGAGAAAGCAATAAAAGGAGGGATGAGGAGAGAAAGCAAACTAAGCAAAGCAAAGCAAAGAGCTAATTACTGAGGAAAGCAGAAGAATTTGACTATGGGAAACAGTAACAAACTGATCCCTGCTTCCTGCTGGCACTTCCTTCCCCACCACCTTCAGAGAGCTATGAAGCAATCATTTGTGATTGGCAATTAACATATTAGAAGGTGTTTCTCACTGAAGGCCTACAGTATCATGTGCTGATGATGTTGCTGCTACAACTGCCACATCAGATCAAGCCCTCAGAAATCAGGTAGTGTTTTGCAGCTCTGTTTCTCATGGTGACATCCAGCTGCTGAGCCAGCAGCTTAAGAGATAATCTACAAGATGCATTTTTGGATATTTTCAAATTTACAAAGTAAGGTCTAGGTCACTATTATTACAAAGGGAAAACCCAACAAATCCCCCTTCAGCAAGCACTTGGCAACAGTGGGGAGGAAAAACTCCCTTTAACGAAAGAAACCTTCGACAGACCCCGGCTCTTGGTGGGTGGCCTTCTGCCTTGACCGGTTGGGGTGAGTGGACAGAGGAGAGAGAAAAGAAGAAAAGCAACAAGACACAACAAACAATCAAACACTGGTCAGGTCGATGTGGCTGGTGACTGCTCATCAGAAACATAGAGCTCCAGAGCCAGGGCTACCTGCAGAAAGGTACAGGGAGAGAAAGAGAGAGAGGACACACTACGGGAGAGAGGAAACACAAAGCTAGTGATGTGTAATGGTGGCATATAGATGCATAGGGAGAGAGGAAAGTTTGTAAATCTTTCCTGTGTGTTCACTGTTTTGTTCAACAACTTTGAGTTTCTGTGCTGGAAGCTCCTACTGTGCCATTATGGCAGAACTACCTACAACTGTATCATTGATTTGAATGCTTTTTTCTGCTTTAGAATTTTACTTGTTAGTGTATTTTCTATGGCAGGTGATGTTTAACATTACTCCTAATATCAAAATTCAAAAAGTAATTTTTAAATGCACAGTTATGTTTTTGCACTTGTGCTGAAGCCAAACAATAGGTTGTGTCTCAGAATGGCAAAGGCCTTCTTCATCTCAGCTGTATGTCATCTTGTTGTTCTTGATAGGCAGCCTTGTGGGCAAGTGTCAGGTCTGTCAGCAAGCATTCTGGGAAAATGTGTACACCACAGACTGTGCTTTCATCTGTGTACAGAGGGACATAAATATCAGTGATGTGTTCGTGTGTATGCATGGGTTTACAGTGTGATTAATGTGTGAGGTTGCTGTTGCAGAACACAGCCTGAATATATTCTTGATCATGCTGCCTGGCACAAAAAAAAAATCTAAGATGAGCTGTTTATAACAGTACCCTGTGTGGTTCTTGCAGCATTCTAAGGCTCTGTATTTTTCTTTTTTCCATTGTCAGTCCCAGTGGATAGCGACTGTTTGGCAGATTGGAAAACTGAGGTCTTATCCCCGTCAACAGGTGAAGGGTTAGCCTGCCAAAAGTTAAATAGTCAGGGGATTTTCAGAGATGGATAGAGTGAGAGGAGCTGGGGGCTCTTAGCTCACACCCTGGTCAAAGCAGCGATGTTTCATTGTCAGCCTGTAAAACTGCTGTGAACATCAAAGACAAATAGCTCTACTGCTGTCAGTATGTATGGTTTAGGAAATCCATTCCATGATATATGGAACCTGCAGTTCTGCTGTATAATTTCTGTTTTTGTGTTGAATTCTCTGCTTTTTTTTTAATAATCAAAAAATATTTTCCTGAACCGGTACATTTTGTTTTTCAGTTTTTCATTGTAGAGAGGGGGGTTCTTTTTACATTTCACAGCAGAAACAGACAGGTGACTCAGTAAGGTGCTGGGCCACCACATGCCACCAGAACAGCTTCAGTGCACCTTTGTAAATGGACTCCAAGTATCTGAACTCTACTGGAGGGATGAATATTATTCTTCCAAAAGATATTCCCTCAGTTTGTGTTTTGATGATAATGGTGAAGAGCCCTCTCAGTGTGTTCGTGTTCCCAGGGCATCAATTACTGACTTTTTGTAAAGTACCTCTTGTGTCTTATACTGACTCTAAAGCATGCCTTTGGCATCCATATAAGATGCTTGGGGTTTCCACTACAGAACATCGCTAATCTACTTGAGTCAGTTCACAAAAACTACAGGTAGGTACATGGTTATATTTAGGCACAAAACTATGTGGTTATGCTTAGGAAAAAGTTGTGGCTTGGATTTAAACATTCACTCATTTAAACCACTTCATTGCACATTGGAGGTGAACTCCCATCTCCAGTGGGAAAGTTTAATGTTTGTTTGACCCAGTGTCCACCCCATCCACCTCCTAAGGCAGACTTTCTCCTTTCATATACTATAAACTCTTGCTCTGGCCATCAAATACTGACACTAGTGGATATTCTACTGAAAACTGTGCATTTCATACAAATGCCCAAAATAGCCTTTGGCATTAGTATGACACTAAAGGTACTTGACATATTGTCAGTATTTGACACCTTGAGAAAGAGGATGGGTTGGTGCTGTCTAACATATCAGATCCCATAATCTCCCATCAACTGGGTTGAAATGCAGTGGCTGTGAAGGCCATGCTCATTGAACCCCTTGCCCTGTGGATGGGGGTGCCGTCATCCTAGAAGAGACCACTCATTTAGTCAGGTTTTTCCTTTATTTTGTCACCCATATGTACAGTAATTTTGATTCCACACAGAAACATGCACCCATCACCCTCATACAGATGCAAAAACATTTATGAAGGCAGTGACCCAAATTGATAATGCAGCAAATGCCAGAGGCAGAGTACTGTCACTACCATCACTGAAGTGGCTTTCCCATCCAAGACCCTGGCCTGTTGAAACAACAGGCATGAACCACGTGAGTGAGATTTTATGCAGCATAGCAACAGAATACTAGGAGTGAGTTGCTCACTGTCTAAGCTGATTTGACACAGTCAGGTGAAACAAGTTTTGAGCTACATAGGGATGACTTTCTTCTGCATTTCTTTTTTGGTAGAACCCTGTCTGGTCCAGAGGTGCAGCTCTGGGGCTGTGGGCTAGATTCACCAGTAGAACAGCCTGATCTTTCATGGGGAGGAAATGAAGAGAACTATTGATTTTCTCATAGATAGCCTATATGTACGCACTTTCACTTGATAAAATTTTAAACACAAAGTCAAGTGGTGATTTTAGAAATGAAATGGCATCTCTTGTGTCAAAAATAAGATGCTTACAGACAGCTTGGTGTCTGCACTGAGTTTCATGGACTAAGCTGTTTCTACAATTAACAAGCTTGTCAAAAAGAGGAACCGTGTCCCACAGAGTCAGATGTAGCAAGAAAGATACTGTATATAATATATTGCTATAAATTGTTTTTTTGTCAGCATCAATGCAACATGTATCATTTTAACAGGAAGCAACAGAAGACACCAGCGTGAACAGTTATACTGGCATGAAATAGAAGCTAATCATCCAAGTCAGTTAATATGTTTACAGCAATTATACCAAGGTATCAACATTCATTGACAATACCATACTGATGTTTCAAACATCTTGACCCAGTGACTCATGAAGCTGTGGCTATTTGATGACAAACAGCCCATCTCACTTCTTGCTCTTCATGTGTTATTTTTGACTGCAGCAGTGTAAATGTGACAGAGGGGAGTCTGAAATACTGCCATCGTAGGGAGATGAATAGTTTCTGCCTCTGCACATGGCCTGATCTGTCTTGCTTCCACCCCTCTTGTATCATGGCATGTGCCCCCGGGGCTTTCACTCTACAGAGCAGGCATTTAGAGCTTGATTTATACACAAGCACATATAAAACAGGGGATGGCACAATCATTGTTGTTTTTCCTTGTTTTGATTGCAAGCAATATAATCATCTTTCCACACTTCACTGTGTCTTTATGGCTAGCATTCAGAGAGTGGTGGAAAAAATCTCATGAACGCAGACAATAATTTTAAGGGCAAACATGAATGAAGAAACAGAGAAAGGCCTAGTTTAAAATATCTTGAAATCACTCAATCCAAAGTATCTATTAATTAAATGAAGCAAGGCAAAATTTTTGTTCTTTTCTTCTTTTTCTTCTCATTTTGCAGTTCAGGCTTTCATTTTAACCTAATGTATTTTCTTTATCTCAGCATGGTTTGATGTGGAACTCAGTTAAAACCCTGCATATTCTGTGAGCAGGGAGGGGCTGTGACGAGGAATCCACCTGGTAAATGCACAACAAGAGAAAAATCATTCTCTCACTCTTTCTTTCTCTGTCTTTGTTCTCAGGTTGTTAGAGAGGTCAATGCTCAGCGCAGAAGTGAAGGAAGGAGAGATTCTGCCTCCTACCATTCAGAGGCTGATGAAAGGATATAACAAGTACCTCAGGCCTTTCTTTGACAGTAAGGAAACTGCAGCACAGCATGGAAATGACAGAATGTTCAGGGGAAATATAGGCTTGATAAAGAGGGGTACAGATGATAGTTTTTGTCCTTAAAATTGCTTTGCTCATAGCTGGAATTAGTTGTAATGAACTGAAAATAAGAGTCCAACAGAAAGCTAGCATCAACACGGGTGTGAGGCCAGTAAATAAACGTGTTATTTACTGAAACACGAATCTATATAAATCTAAAAATAGGTTGATATTATTTCAGCCATATCTGCTAGTATGCATTGTGATTTAAGCAGCCTACTAATTTACTTGCCATAGAGAAACAGTCTATTTCAGTGTATGCTTTAAACGAACAATGCTCCCTGCAAATCCCTCACTACTGTTATTGTTCTAGATGCCAGGAACCTGTCACAATGTGATTATGGGTTGTTTACTCACTGTTTGCTCTATAATAACACCTCAGACTTTACTAAATTCAATGTTGTTCAGCATAATCACAAGCCCTCCTGCTTAGGAACACAATTTTGGCACACACTGATGGTAAAAGCACAGGCAAACACAAGCACACATTCAGTTTTCACACACTGCAGTACTAGCACTGGGGGAACTTCCATGGATTTTATTCATTCTCCAGCCCTTAAGCAGAAATCATCCAGACATGCTTCACTAAAACCTGCAACTGTATGTTCCACCCCTGATTTCCTGCTGGAGTCTCTTAGTTTGAAAGAAACCTCCAGGTTTTCACTATCTCACTCTCCCCAGCCTCTTTATTGTCAATCAGTGTCTGATTCAGATCACCTGGCTAATGCCACTCACCTGTGGCTTGTGGTCTCCACCTTACATATACTGCCTTGTTTTTCTGGTACAATTGTTAGATTGTCATTCAATGTTGTACTGCGCTTTCCTGTCAGCACCTATCACCAGTGATGTCGAGATGAAGCCTTCCAGCCAACTGGTTCGCAAGAGGGTTCATTTCTCAAGACTTCATGTGCACAACCCCCCCCCCCTTTTTGGTCAATGACTGTAAGACAGGCAGATGTGTTTGTAGTCTTTAACTGTATGTGATACTCTCAAAGCTGTTGCCACAGTTTGGGCATGGGAATAATGACTGCCATTTAACTATGCAATTTTCTCTTGTGAGCACAAGATAATAACCCATTCAAATCATGTGTTTTTGTCTCCCCTTATTAACGTACTTGTGCTTGTTTGTAATGTTGTATCCAGTACTTTTTACCATACGGACTCCATGGTAAGGACTCCATACACCATGGTATTACAACAGAATTTTACTGTGATGCTAGAAATTAGATGTTAATTTTTATTTCAGTGAAGTCTGACTTGGCTTTTGGAGCAAAATGGCCCCTTTATATATGAGAAGATAACACTTTGTTTGCTAACTGTGAAACTAAAGCCAGCAGTTAGCTTAGCATAAAGATGGAAAACAACTAACTACTGTCTAAAGGTGACCATAAAGGCTAATAGTGAGCCAGTGTTTTAACACTTAACAAGGGTGTGTTTTTAGAGGTGCTGATAAGATTTTGGTACCCTCTGTCACGACCAAGCTGGCTATCCCCCCTTTGTTTTCTAGCTTGTTTGCTAAACTATGCAAACCTATTGCTAGTGGTAGCTTTATATTTACAGTCATATTGATGTTCGCATCTAAATTTGCCAGAGTGAATGTGTATTTACTAAAATGTTGAAATATCCTTTTCAAGCTGAATTCCAGTGGATGCCCCAGCCAAATGTCTCAATTTTAGGTTTTCTTTACATGTAAAGAAACAGCCACTAACAATGGAAGCATGTACAGTATGTGCAACATGGCACCAGGTTACAGAAATGAAGACTGAGAGAAGGAGAATGGGGAGATGAAATGCAGGAGTGTGGTTAAGCTACCCCTCTTTGATGGTGATTCTGAGAGAGCTAATTCCCTCAGTGAGGTTCACACCCAACAGACTGCACCTGTTACTGTACCAGCAATGTAGGATCACTAGCATTTTAAAATGTGCTGTCCATTGTTGTACTGCATAACCTTATACACTGATCAGTCATAACATTATGACCACTTGCCTAATACTGTTTACATAGGAGTCAGTCTGACAGTTGGTTGGCACTCGTGTCACTCTGCAGCTCACTGTGCATCTTCTGTGAATCCATTTGCTTCCACAGTTCTACTGTCAGGAAGAGCACAGATGTGTCTACAATTCAGTGAAAAACTTATGTAAAAGCAGTGAAAACTGTGGTCGTGAGGACAAGTTAGAGAGAATGTTTTAGACAAATTCAACAGCCTCACCATTCTAGGTGTGATATCACCACTACAGCCCCTGACTCTTTCTCTTCAGAGACCAATGTACAGTATTTCTCATTTCAACCATTTTAACAAAGATTCAAATAAATTTTAATCTTTTGAAAAGTATAAATGGAAGTTAAAAGTTTAATCTATAGTAAGGTGATCCATGGGTGTCAATGACCCTGTTGCCAGTTCACCATTTGTTCTTCCTTAGACCACTGTTGGTAGGTACTAACCACTGCAGATCAAGCACACCCACCAAGACCTGCAGTGTGGGAGATGCTCTGATCCAGTCATCTCACCGTCACAGTTTGGCCCTTGTCAGAGTCGCTCACTCACTTGCCCATTTTTCCTGCTTCTAACACATCAACTTTGAGGACTAGATGTTCACTTGCTGCCTAATATACCCCACACACTGACAGGTGCCACTGTAACAGATAGTCAGTGTTATTCACTTCACCTGCCAGTGGTCATAATATTATGGCTGATTGGTGTATTCTAAAATATACACTTATATTATGCAACTCACATTCAGTTGCAGAGTACTGGGGATAATACAGTGTGTAAAAGGTGGATGAAGAACGTAATCATAGTTTTGTGTGCACATTTCTTTCTAGATGGTCCTGTAACAGTGGGCATGAGCTTGGATATTGCCAGCATTGACACCATCTCTGAGATCAATATGGTAAGGCAATATCTTCTGTGCTGTACTGTCAGTAGAGGGGGTTTTACTTTAAGTCTCAGGCCAAATACAATTTTTGGAACTTATGTCCTTTACATTTATGGAATTTTGTTACATTTTTGTTTGTACTGCAGAAATTAACAATTTTTTATACACTAATTAGGCTTTTTCATTTTAGTAGTTGACAAATTGGTTGGTTATGTAATGACTGGCCAGTAGATCTTGGATATGATAGTTGATTACAGAAGAGCAGTCCAGTTTATCAGTATAACCGGAAGTGTTTAGTTTGACTGGCAGTAAATACAGGGTTACAACAAAATCAAATTAAACACAACAGCAAATGCATTCAGGTCAGTGGTCAGGACCGAGAATGGGAATTGGTTATTAATGCAGGCAACTCTTTAGAATAGCAACAGTGAACTCTTGAGACAAAACCAAACCTGCACATTAGGAGACAGCAATACTATGTGACCAACAGGAAGAACTGTATTTATAGTCACAGTTTGTTGCTAGAGAATAGAAGAAATGAACTATGTAACTACACATGATGTAACTTTCAAATAGATCAGTTTCCTAAAAGAAGATACCTGCTGACTTGAAGCACATGACAGGATTATTGTTGCTTCAGGCACAGAGGGGCTTAGGTACCTAATGACTTTAATACCCAACAATTAAAAAGGGGGGTGAGTGTTGGGGGGCGGGGGGAGTACATTGGAGATGCTTGGTTTGTAACAATCTGACTTATCTCTCAGCATATAGTCTGCTAGCTCTGTTGTAACCTTTGGTCCCCATTCCTGCAGGACTACACTGCCACCATTTTCCTCCGCCAGCGCTGGACAGACGAGCGCCTGGTATTTGAAGGTAACAAGAGCTTGAGTCTTGATGGGAGGCTAGTTGAGCTCCTGTGGGTCCCTGACACCTTCATCGTAGACTCCAAGAAGTCGTTTCTCCATGACATCACTGTGGAGAACAGATTAATCCGCATCTTCCCCAATGGGACCGTCCTTTACGCGCTGAGGTGGGGTAACAAACAAGCTTGTTGGTTTATTAATTTTTCTGTTTCAACCATTGACTGTGTGGCTGGTTGTACTATAAGCAAATGATCATAAATCCCACCTCCATGTTAGCAGATGCGACATGAGCCAAACTAAAAACTCAAAGTAATAAATCGGAGGCAATTTCTACTGTTTTTGGTAGACATTATTATGCTGGTGTGTGTAAAAGTGGTCATTTTTCTGGTAGGTTTTTAATAAGTTATAAAAAAGGGATGTATTTCAGTTGATTTGACAGTTTTATCTGATATATAATGCAACTACTTTGCTAATGCACAGAATTTGGTTGCAAAAAGAGCAAGATGGCAGCCGTCGAATTCACAGTATTTTGGTTTCACTTTTGCATAGTGGAGGGAAGAGGTAATGTGATATCCACTGTATATACAGTCAGTGGCATGAATGTTGACTACAGAGTAGACTAGAGAAATACTTGGCTGAGGGAAGAAGTGTGTGTAGAAACTGGCCATGGTGCTGGTGTGCTTGACTGGCCAGCAAACTCACCAGACCTGAACCCCATAGAGAATCTATGGGGTATTGTCAAGAGGAAAATGACAAATGAGAAACAAAATAATGCAGATGAGCTGAAGGCCACTGTCAAAGAAACCTGGGCTTCCATACCACCTCAGCAGTGCCACAGACTGATCACCTCCATGCCACGCCGAATTGAGGCAGTAATTAAAGCAAAAGGAGCCCCTACCATGTATTGAGTACATGTACAGTAAAAGAACATACTTTCCAGAAGGCCAGCAATTCACTAAAAATGTTTTTTTTATAGGTCTTATGAGGTATTCTAATTTATTAACATAGTGAATTGGTGGGTTTTTGTTAAATGTGGGCCCAAATCATCACATTTAAAAGACCCAACAGCTTAAACTACTTCAGTCTGTGTGTACTGAATTTATATAATACACGAGTTTCACTATTTGAGTTGAATTACTGAAATAAATGGACTTTTCCACGATATTCTAATTTATTGAGATGCACCTGTACATGTTCTGGTTGCATACTGAAAAGAGAACAGGTCACACTGGTGAGTTTCTCACTGTAAGGGCAACATTGTAACTATTGTGATTGGTGGTTGGGTGGGGGGCATTGAACACGGGTTGGATGTTATGTTATAGTAAAACTGGTTTGGTGTTCAGGTTCAGTCTGATTTCACATTTAACCATGCATTTATACATTAAAATCAGGAAGCCGCTGCACTACTTGTCTTCGTGAAAATACTTGTTTGGATTTGTTTTAAATTTAACATATACTAGACATTCACTTACAATAAGACTGCATTTGTTTTATGTTGAGGTATGTGTCCTAGTCTTCATGGGCCTGTGCCACCTGTATCATTTCTGGTTTTTCTATGACAGGAAAAATGGAGGAGCATAGAGCTTCACAGTCAGAAAGCAGGACTAGGAAGGGTAAAACAAGGCAAAAAAGACAGTTAGAGAGATGGCCACCTTGGGGAATTGGGGCTGTGAACAAGGAGAGAGTGAAGTGACAAATGTGAGGTGTTGGAGGAACAAGATTTTTGTGGTAAATGTTTCAGTGCAGTGCCAAGGGGAATGCATGACAAAGCACTGAGGTTATTATAGCCAAAGGTTTGACACTTAAGAGGTAAAATTCAATTAAAGGATTACTGTATACGGTATGTTACATGTAGGATTTTAAGGATCCTATTGATATATGTGATGAATTTGAAACCAGAATTTGGAGGTCACATTTTTAGTGCGTCATAGATAACTGCTAGACAGAAGCCTGGTAAATGGTTGTAACAACCAAGGTGCATGATAGATTGCCCAGGTGGATTTTCTAAGGGTCAACTTTAATTTTCTTACTTTACTCATTGGCTTATTGAAATGTTGTCATATCTAAACTTTCCCAATCACTTGAACTTGATGAACCTTGTCATGAAGCTGCTAACACTTCAGTGGTTGTTAAGAGGAAAATGTACAGCAAATA